TGCTTTACCTTCTGTACTGGCGAGAGTGGAGCAAATCGGGCTTAGCGTGTTACTTGAATAAAGATGGTTCCTCATCTTTAAGTCTCAAGTCCTTTTTAGTTTGCTTTCCAATCAGGTGACCTGGTTGTTTACTTAATTCTGTATGCTAACAGAACAGTCACCAGGGAATGAAGAAAGATGCACCTTCCTTTCACAGTTGTCATGAGTGGTGTCAGGACAAAGTTCCAGTGGCTGAGTAACCTGTTGAAGAAATCCAAACTTGGATGAAGGCTAAGCATTCCAGATTCATGGGAATCAATTTTAAGTATTTACACCTCGGCCAAAATCTTCTCAAAATATGAATCTTGAGGCTAAAAATTACTCTGCTTAGACCCAGTTGGGCCAGCTTTCACATGAGTGTCTCACATTGGAACACTTGACCTTCTGCAAGTGCAGTTTACTGAAGCAATCTTTCTTGAATGCACCCAGATCGCGGATTGAGGAATTTTACTCTCATGTTTTGAAAAGTAGCATCCTGACCATGTGCCTTTAATAATAGAACATTCATTCATCCCATTTATTCAGCAAATATTCCTAGAGTGCCTACAGCATCAGGCACGTGATACTAAATGCTGGGAATTGAACAGTAAGCAGAACTACACCCTTGCCCTCAGTGGAGAGAGGAGGATTCCGAGATCATAAGGGCTTGGGGAGGGGGCAGGGTTGTTCTTTTATTTGGGCGGTCAGAGAAGCTCCTGTGATGAGGTGGGTGACATTTGAGCTGAGACCTGAAGAAAGTGAGGGAGTGAGCCTCGTGGATATTTGGGGGAAGGGCATTCCTGACAAACAGCAAAGGTGACAAGGAGGCTTGAGGCAGGCAAGGTCACAGAAGCATGGGGCAGGGGCATATCACAGAGGGCCTTGCAGGCCATTTTAAAGGCTGTGACTCCTGAACGAGGTGAGGAGCCATTGGGTGGTTTGGAGGAGAGGTGAGGAGAGGCGAGAGGAGTTTGGAGGAGAGGTATCAGACTGGCCTTTACAGAGGGCACTGGCTGCTCTGTGTGGACCCAGGGGAGCAGGGCAAGAGGAGGCCAGGAGGCAGGAGGCTACTGCAGTAAATCAGGCAATGGCTTTCGGTGGCTTGGACACTTGGCAGTGCAGAGGAAAAGGTGTATTCTGGAAGTATGGTGGAGGTAGAGCTGAGGGGATTTGTCAGTGGATTGGATACAGGGTGTGAGAGAAAGACTGGAATTAAGGACTGTAAAGGATTTCAGAAGCTGGGAGTTGGCTCGAGGAGCAGATACGGGAGAGGTCAGGAGTCTGTCTAATTTTGCTCCTGTCTTCCGAGGTGCTTATGAGACACCCTGTGGCCATGTTGAGTTGGTGGTGGACCTACGACTAGAGATCAGCAGAGAGGCAGGCATAGGCTGGAGACACAAATTTAGGAGTCGTTAGCCTATGGACATTTAAAGCTCAGACTGGAGGAGACCGCCTAGGAAGTGAACGTAGATGAAGAACCAGACAGAGGACCAAGCTCTGGGACATTCCCACGGTAGAGAAGTCGGCAGAATGAAAAGGAACTAGCCAGAGACTAAGTAGGAGCAGCCAGTGAGGCAGGAGCAGAACAGAGAGAGCAGGCCTATCAGCCAGGTGAAAAAGCATTTAAGAAGAGAGCTGTAAGCTGCCAAGTGGTGCAGAGAAGGAAAGGTGAGCACCTACAATGTGCAGGCGCTGGGCAGACACGGATGGGCCAGAGTGCCGGGCACTTAGTACGGGGTTCGTGCTTTTTTTTTTTTTTTTTTTTTTTTTTGTAATGAAGCTAATCCTTCAAACAACTTACTTTGGAGGAAGAGCCCGAATGTGCAAAGGCACCTAACCCAGGCAGCAACCTTGTCTGGGGAGGCGGGGCTTCTGCAGCTGAGAAGTACTCCAGTGGATTTCTGGGTGTAGACCCTCTCTCTCTCTTCTGGATTTTCGGGTCCCTCCCCTCTAGGCTCTCTAGGAAGCAGTCCCACCTGCGAAGTGAGAAGGAAACAGGAAGCGAATGATTACCCTCTCTGATCAAAGAACAGAACCACAGAGCACGGAAAGACCTGGGGAAAAGCAAGAATGGGACAGCTACCTTTAAAAGCAGTTTAGAATTCATTCCAAGTTTAGTAAATTCCCTTCTGTCTGAGGAACTCGGTTTTCCTGATGACAATCTGTTGACAGACACGGATGGCCTCAAGAGGTCGCCCTTTCCCTGAAATGCATTTGGCTTAAAGGGAGGGGCAAAAACGTGAGAAGTTCAACACTAATCACCTAAGGCCAATACCAAACTGGGCAAAAAATTTCCTTAACCTTTTAAGAAATCAAAGTGTCCCTTTACCAATAACATGGTTTATCAGTTTAAAAAGTGACAAACCACAGGACAAGGTTGAGTAAATATGGACTGTGTAGAGTAAGGAATGCCTCAGTGTCAAGGGGTTTGGTATTTAGGCAGTGACTCTCTTACCTCATTGGTGACTATCTTATTAAGCATTCTATTTGAAGAGCAACTTATCATGTGAGGATAATTTTTAATTAGCTAACGTTTATTAGGTGTTAGTGTGTTCTAAGCCTTTTTAGATACCAACCTACATAATCCTCACCCAACCAAAGAAGGAAGATACTGTTATCCTGAATACTAATAATCCTTTGAGACAGGTACTTTTACAGTTGAAGGGTTTGTGGCTTAGGGAAATTAACAATTGGTCCAAGGTCACACCTTGTGAGGGGCAGAACTGGGATTTGAACACAAATCCACAACTACCTACCGTATACTTATCCAGTACCTATAGGGTACTGGATTCATGAATGTGTAAATGCTATTAAGAAAGAGTTTCTTAATTTAAAAACATACAGTGATTCTTTTTTGTTGTTGTTTATTTATTTATTTTGAGAGCAAGAGCACACATGCATGTGGGGAAGGGGCAGGGAGAGAGGAGAGTGAGAATCCCAAGCAGGCTCCACACCATCAGCAACGGAGCCCAATGAAGAGCTTGAACTCACAAACCGTGAGATCATGACCTGAGCTGAAGTCAGATGCTTAACCAACTGAGCCACCCAGGTGCCTCCATACAGTGGTTCTTAACCAGAAATGAGTCAGATCCGTCTGAGAAGTTTTATTTTTTTTTAAATTTAATGGTTATTTTTGAGAGAGCCCAAGCAGGGGAGGGGCAGAGAGAGAGAGAGAGAGAGAGAGAGAGAGACAGAATCTAAAGCAGGCTCCAGGCTCTGAGCTGTCAGCACAGAGACCAACGTGGGGCTCAAACTCAAAAAAGGCAAGATCATGACCTGAGCCGAAGTTGGACGCTTAACTGACTGATAAGGGTTTATCTGAGGAGTTTTAAAAAGAATAAAACTACCTGAGGTTTTTCCCGGAACAATCTATCATTGATTTGGGGTTGGGGGAGAGGGCTCTGGAATCTGTTTATGTTTTTAAGTTCAACAGGAGTTGAATTTAAATCTTAAGTGTAGCCACCCTTGGTAGGGAACCACTGTAGGGAGCTGCACGGATGAACAGTAGCTAAATTTATCAGGTGGAACAGCACAGTAGGACACAGCAGCTCCCCAGTCGTAGAACAGGATTATGGTGATTTGCCTAGTGTTTAACTACAAAGAGTATTAACTCGGGCAATTCAAACCCCTCTAACTTCCACTTTGAGCGGTTCTCCCCTCTCCCCTTGAGAGCAGAGTTGGGAAGAAACGTGTGATTCTCCAGTGACCTTGGTGATAAGTGGCAAAAGCAGAGCTCTCTCGGGCCGGCAGCGAGGCATTCTTAAAATCTGTCAGTCAAATCCATTCACTGGCTGGATGGTGAGTCAAACACCTAGACGATGCAGTCTTTATCCACTGCTACTTGCTGCCCGCCAGCTCGGCAAGCTGCCGGTGTTGGTGAGCTCAGAGGCTGGGTGTTTCTGCCTGGGGGTGAAACGTGGGCCCAGATGGGGCTCTTTAACAGCGAAGGAACCAGTAAGGACTGGAGTCAGCTGGGATGAAGGGAGACATCATGTTCTGTCCATTTCTGAAACAAGGACAAATCTTCCACAGTGACTTCAAGTGGCCTGAGTCATCGTGGGATTTGGAGTATGTCAGATAAGTCTGAAGTCAGATAATAGTCCAGTAGTTCTCAAATGCCTTCTGGGCTTCCTTTTTAAGTGATTTCTATCCTCCCCCTCTCCATATCTCTACATCTCCCCACCCCCCCCACGCCCCGCCCACTTCCTGTTCTTGGTGTCTCCTACCTTTCCCAGAATTACTCCTGTTAACCCTGGGCTCAGTTGGGATTTCCAATCATTAATCCTGGCCACAGCTTCATGTCATGGAGATTTATTTGTCCCTTTCACTGGAGTTTGGTGGGAACCTGAGTGCTAGGAATCCACGCAGGCCCTTTGCTCCTGACTCTGCCCCAAGAGCTTTCTGAAGTCTGGCCTCACAGGCCCTGAGGACATCAGAGAAAGAAAGCTTGGAAAGGGGATATTTTTAAAAAATCATGATCTTTGACTACTGCTAAGACAACCTCATTCCAAATAATCAGCAACCCTGTGTCTCAGAGATAAAGACAGGCTCCTCGCCCCTCAGAGAAGAGAGAGAGGGAGCCATCGGTGCCTTTTCTGGGCTCTTTGCAAGGTGTTCCCAGGGGTGCAGAGAGGGACTGGAGGTTGTGCGTGAGCCCTGGACTCAGATTTGCTCCATCTTCCAGAATCTGTTTCCAGAACCTCACTTCTCTTCCCGAGTTCCCTCCTCTGCTTTCAAAAGCATATGTGAACCATGCCCGTTCCTTTCTCTTTAGGTCACCAGATTCCTTTATGGGGCTGGCAGCATGGATAGCCCCGGGTCCTGTTAGGGCATGTGAGCAGTGGTGGGGCTGAGATTTGCCAATCGCTCTGCTCTGGGGGATTTTAAGTGTTCCAGGACTGGGTGTTCCTCTAGTCCTCCTTTCCCCTCCCTTCCCCGATCCCTCTGCCTGTTCTCTTTCTGCAGACTCCGGCCAGCCGGGGACGCTGGAGGTGGAAGGGAGCTCATAACCAGGGGAAGAAAAGCCACCAAACTGTCCCAGCTGCCTACACTTAGTTCTCCGCTGCCCTTCCTTGCCCCTCCAGCCTCTCAGCTGGGTCTGGAGCACTAGCCCAATTTGAAACACCCCTCCCGCTTCGAAGGAGGCTGGGCTGGCCAGGGGGTTATTTTGGGAGCAGCCTCAGAGATCCAATGGCCTTGTTAGGGCAACACTGACCTTTCCGTCCCAGGAGGAGGGCAGGATTGGAGAGGGGCGGGGCAGCGGCTGGGAGATGGACAGCCCCGCACACCCACTGGGTGGAGAAGGGGGCCAGCCGGCTGCAGGAATTCAGCCTCGGGCTGGGGGCTGTCACCAAGGAGGAATTTCTCCACTTTGAAACAGACTGGGGACCCCTCCACCCCACCCCTTTCACTGTGCTTCTTAAAGGGATCACACCGTTTTTCCTCTGACTCCAGGGAAGCCAGACTTGGGACGCTCTATGGAGACTTTGAATCTTGCCCTCCTGCTTCCTTCCCAACTGGCAGCCTTCCTCTGGCTGGTTGAGTGGGGGCCTCCCAGGCATGGCACTGACCAGCCGACCCAGTGCTGATTTGGCTCCTGGGCTCATTCAGTCTCTGGTGGCATCTTGCTTTCCCCCTCCTGGGGCACAGTGGTGAGTCAGGGGCGTCCAGCCCTGAGTGTGCTTGGAGAGTGTCGCTGGCACCACCACCCCCCCCCATCACCCTCTCTCCCCCACGCTGGAGGACGGTGAGGTTGTCAGGGGCTACGATGAGATGAGTGGGGGCCGCTTTGACTTTGATGATGGCGGGGCGTACTGTGGGGGCTGGGAGGGGGGAAAGGCCCATGGACATGGACTGTGCACGGGCCCCAAGGGCCAGGGCGAATACTCGGGCTCCTGGAACTTTGGTTTCGAAGTGGCGGGCGTCTACACCTGGCCCAGTGGGAACACCTTCGAGGGATACTGGAGCCAGGGCAAAAGGCATGGGCTGGGCATAGAGACCAAGGGACGCTGGCTCTACAAGGGCGAGTGGACACACGGCTTCAAGGGACGCTACGGAACCCGACAGAGCAGCAGCAGCGGTGCCAAGTATGAGGGCACTTGGAACAATGGCCTGCAGGATGGCTACGGCACGGAGACCTATGCAGATGGAGGTGAGCCCAGCCTGGGGCCCCGCAGAGGGGGCCGATGAGTGAGGGAGGCTGGTGGAGGGTGGGAAGAAGGAGGGGGGATATGACACAGAATCAGAGGAGCCAGGACGCTATTTGCTGTGTGGCACCGGGCAAGCTGCCCTACCTCTCTCAGAATCCATTTCCTTGTCAGTAAAGGTGGGGCCAATGACAGGGCCATTGAGAGGGCTGGCAGCGGTGTTTAGGACAAGACCTGCTGTATAAATACACACTCAACACACATTCAGTAAAACCTAACTACTACTGTTTGCATGCTAGGCTTACAAACAGCCATGGAATATACTCTGGCTTGTGCTCTAGAAGAATTTGGGTCTAATCTCAACTTTGCCATGAAAGTTATTTTCAAGCAATAGATCATGAAGTGTTCATTCATTCACCCATCCATCTACCCACTTATCCATCCATCCACCCACCCACCCATCTAATCATCCACCCACACATTCATTCATCCATCTATCCATCCTTTCATTTAGTGCATATTTCTGTGGTACCTCCTATTTGCCAGGTATTATGAAAAGAGTTAGATATAAAGAGGAATAAGATACAGCCCAAGGCTTCAAAGATTGGCTTTAAACAAGCCATTATACATGAGTAGGTACAGAGTGCTGTGGCAGAGAAGTTAGATTTGAGGAGGTCAGGGGCTGCTTTAGAAGAGGTGACATCTGAGCTGGATCTTGTTGGGAAAATTGCTTTAGAGAGGGTGTGAGAGCAGGAGAGAACGAGTAAGAAGCTCAAAAGCATGAGCGTGCCCGGTGGGTTAAGGAAATGGAGAGGAATTTTCTGTGGCAAACAGCCATGGGGAGTGGCAGAGAAGATATCATCACATCATCCACTGGGTACAACTGCATGTATCACTTAGTTGAGCCTCAGTTTCCTCATCCACAAAATCGGTTTTGGAATGTCAGCGCTGCTCAAAATGTGGTCAGTAGACAGTATCAGCATGATCTATCCACCAATTCAAAATTCAAAATCAGGGGCCCCAACTAGACCTTCGGAATCCAAATCCAAATCTTGAGGGCAGGACTAGGCATTTGCTTTAACAAGCCCGCCTGGAAATTTTCATATACATTAAAATTTAAGAAGCAATGCTTTAGATCAGGTGCTTGCAAATGACAGATAGCGGGCCAAACTGGCCAGCTGCCTGTGTTTGTATAGCTTGTGAGCTAAGGGTGGTATATTTGAAAAAAATCAAAAGAAGAACACTACTTTGTGACATGTGGAAATTGTATGAAAGTCCCTACATAATATCCTTTTGGCCCACAAAGCCAATACTATTTACTATTCAACTGTTTACAGGAGAATTGGCTGGCTCTTGCTTTAAATGGTCATTTAGTTTCCCCCCAGATCAGGATAATTCTATGAAGTCTCCATAACTTGCCCCATTGGGAAGAGGAGCTAACACAGATACCTCAGAACTATATATTTTGGCATCTGTCAGATGCATGCGTAGTTATATCACTATGACAGAGGGTGAGCAGTGGACAGTCCCAGAGTGGGTTTGGGGAGGGGCAGGAAGGGGCATGAGCCATCCCAGAGCAGAAGTTGTGCTCAAGCTGAGGCTGGTGGGCATACACAGAGGGGCCTCACGTACAGGATGGGCTCCTGACTGGGCTGCCCATTGGTGAGCCCGTGGTGAGGACCCACCCTCAAATGCATCTGCATGTTAATGAGGTTGTGTCCCTGGAGTTTCTGTGGGTGCAATGGCAGCTACACAGCACTGGCTGGAATTGGACAGCGCTGAGGACAATTTCTGGCTCCACGCTTCCTAATTTGGTGACCATCAGCTGTTTGCTGAATGTCTGCAATTCGGTGCAATTCAATTCACTGGATGTTTATGCTGGACACTGCACTGAGCGCTGGGGACAAGTAGAGAGCAGGCCTCAGCTTCTCTGGCTACAACAGGGAGATGATCCTTGAGTGCTTGCTGGGTGTCAGATACTCATGCAGAGTGGTGCACAGAGTGCCAAATATTCCTTCCCTAAGGTGTCTTAAAAGGGGAAACCTATTCATTCATTCATTCATTCATTCACGCAACCAATATTATGGGGCACCAACCAGGTGTCAGGCTCCATCCTACAGCAAGTTCCAGGAGCCAGGGCAGTGGGCAAGCAAAATTATGAAACAAATAGCAGAGAAGGAAGAGGGTGACTTTTTGGATGGTGTAGCCTGGGAAGCAAGATGGGAGGACTAGGGAGAGAGTAACGACTTCCAGGCAGAAGGAATGATGGTCACAAAGGCCCTGAGGCAAGACTGGACTTGGCATGCTTGAGGAACAGCAAGAGTGCCAGGGTGGCAGGAGTAGAGTGGAGGGGGACAGGCAGGGGTTGACGTTGGAGCTGAAGGTGTGAGCCAGATCACGTAGGCATTGCAGGGCCCAGGGCTTGATTCTGGGTGTGCACAGGAGCTCTTCAGGCTAGGTAACTGGAAGGCCTGTTCCTCTGGTTTGTCAGAGGCCCAGACTCTTCTTCCGAATGAGACAGTCCCACATCCAGCGGCCCTGGAAACCTCAGATCTCTCCCAAGCCACACACGAGGTGCAACTCTCCAAAATTAGATGTGGCCACTGCTTCGGAAAATCTCCTTAATCAACCTGTCATCAGTTCCCCGAGGGTTTGTTAAGGACCTGCCCTTTGCCCCATCCTGGGTAGTGCTGAAGAGAATGTGGACAAATAAGATCCTGTGATTAGAAACGTCTGGGAGTCAGGCAGCCCTGGGTTATTATTGTGGCTCTATCCTATTATTTAATCTTTTGGAGCCTTAGTTTCCTCACCAATAAAGTGGACTATGCTAATCTCTCATAAGATTTCTCATGAGATAAACAGGTACTCAATAAATGGTAGTTGCTATAATTACTATTCACTTTCATTAACTCATTCAATAAATATGCATTGAGTGATTATTATGAAGCTAGCTCTATACTATACTGGTGGTGGGAGGGAGGAGTATAGACATGAACAGGATGGGCAAGGTCCCTATCTTCCAGAGAATCTAACAAGAAATTGTACTATAGTGTGTTAGGTACTAGGCAGGAAAGTACTGGGAACTAAGGGAGGAAGAGGTGGGCAACTAATCAGACTGAGGCATTCAGGAAGGCTTCCTGGAGTAAGTGGCAAGCTGGGCTCTGAAGTATGGAGTAAGCCAGGTGACAAGGGTGGGAGATGAGTGCCCCAGGTGGAAAGAACAATGCACGCAGGTCAGGAGGTCCAGAACTTACTGCCATCCAGGAAATAAAGCTGAAAGTTGCATCTCCTCCCCAGTTTTCGGAAGGACTGATCAAAGGGACAATATGTTCCATTTCCTCCAGTCCCCACCTTGCCTTGCGGTCAAATGTCACAGGTGACTGCCTCCTCTAAACTAAAGGAGGGGCACCTGGGTAGCTCAGTCTGCTAAGTGTCCGACTCTTGATTTCAGCTCAGGTCATGATATCATGGTTCATGAGTTTGAGCCCCACATCGGGCCCTGCACTGAGCATGGAGCCTGCTTGAGATTCTCTCTCTCCCTCTCTCTCTCTCTGCCTCTCCCCTGCTCGCTTGCTCTCTCTCTCAAAATAAATAAAATAAATATTCAGAAAATTTATAAAAATAAACCAAAGGAAACAGCAGTTTTCCAAACTGGAGGTATTGACCCACTAATAGGTAGTAAAGTCAATTTAGTGGGTCATGACCTGCATTTTTAGAAATGAAAGAACAGAACAGAAAAATCAGAGTGTTTCACAGAGGATAAGAAAGCATTGTTTCCTGAAACATTTGTTCAGCTGAAGACATATGTACATATATAATGTGTGTGTGTGTGTGTGTGTGTGTGTGTGTGTGTGTGTATAAAAACTTCTGTGTTTACATGCATCGTGTATTTCTTACATGATGTGTGTATAAATGTATTTCCTACTGCAGGTCATGGTCAAAAACATTTGAAAATCACTATTCTAAAGTGACTTGACGTGGAACCCTCATCCAAGCCTCTCCATTCCCACGTCCACAGACTCTCCCTCTCCTCCAAGCCTGACACTTCAGCTGGGGGTTAATTAAGCTCTCCAGCAGCCCCCCTCCCCAGGAAGGAGAAGATGGAAGGAAAGGTGCCCCCTGGGGTCCCAAACCCTGCTGTAAACCTCCTGGCACCCCTCCCCTGCCTACAGCCCTCTTCCTGCCCTGGCCATATATAGCAAAACTAAAAATAGCTGCTGACTTAAAGCTCCAAAGCAAGCATACACCCAGGCCTTAAGTAGTAATGCTCCTTTGACGGCCTAGCTGTCTCCACCCCAGGGACCCACAGACTCCAGGACTGGAAGGGCCATTGGCGATCTTTGCTTTCCTAGGTTCTTGATCTGGGGCCCGTGCCTTGGCCTCAAAGGCCCATCAGGGTGCAGGCAATATGTGTGCATATGTATATGGGTTATCTGTGTTTTTCCTCAGAGAGCCCTCAGATTCTTAAAGTAATCTGGTACTCCAATAAGTTCTAGAACTCCTTACTTATCTAGTCAGTAATCCCCTCCCCCAAATGTGCAGTGGAAAAACCAGGCCCAAGGCTGACTTTGCGCATAAAGCCAATAGTAATAATAATAGTTAATATGTTTGGTGTGCTTACTATGTGCCAGGTGCTGTTCTTGGCATGGAACACGCTATGTTATTTAAACTTTCACAACAACCTCATGGGGAAGTACTGTTATCACCCCGATTTTACAAACGAGGAAACAGAGACAGATGATTTAAGCACCGTATTCTTACTCATGGTCCTCTAGCTAGTAAGAGGCAGACATAGAATCGGATGGTAGTAAGTGATAATTAAATATTTCACAGTATAACTATTTCTAATAAACAATAAACAACTATACAAAATAAGACTGGCTACACCATGGGTGAGACCTAGTGCAAAATGAAAACGCAAGACCCCTTCTTCAATATCATTAAGAATTTCAACACAGTGACAGCCAAGAATTAAACCAAGTGCAGGGCCTTCTAAGTGCAGAGC